TTTAGAAAGTGTTCAAAGATAAGACCAATGACAAAATCCCAGTATTAAAAGGAACAACAAATAGTTGGCTGTATCTCTTCATGCATGAGTAGGATCTTTTAAGATTTTTTCCATTTACATTGGAATGTCAACTAATGCTGCTGTATAGATCTTCTTAAGGTGGCCGCATGGTTAATATTTCACGAGTATGAGTGTAGCTCTCTATCTTAAATAGAAGACACTGTCTTAAAGCAGACATTCTGGTTCCTTGGTTCTTGAAGCAAGTCAAAGGAATGAAATAAAGGCATACAAATAGGAAAGGAAGCAGAATATTTCTTTCTTTCTTTTTTCTTTTATTTTTTTTTTTTTGGCAGATAACGCGATACATATGTTAGACCCTGAAGACTCTACCAGAAAATTATTAGATATTAAGTAATTTCTTTTTTAATTATTTTATTTTTATTATAGTTTATTCACTTTGTAAACCCCCCGTACTTCCTTCCCTCCTCCCCTCCCAGTCCTATCCTCTCTCTTCACCACCCGTGTCCCTCTCCCAGGCCACTGAAAAGGGAGGTCCTCCTCCCTTTCCCTCTGACCCTAGTCTATCAGGTCTCATGAGGTGTGGCTGCATTGTTTTCTTCTGGGGCCTGGTGAGGCTGCTCCCACTTCAGGGGAAGGTGATCAAAGAGCAGGCCAATCAGTTCATGTCAGAGACAATCCCTGTTCCCATTACTATAGAGGCCACTTGGATACTGAACTGCCATAGGCTACCTCTGTGCATGGGTTCCAGGCCATCTCCATGAGTGGTCCTTGGCTGGAGTATCAGTTTCAGAAAAGACCCCTGTGCCCATACTTTTAGGATCTGTCACTGTCCTTGTGGAGCTCCTGTCCTCTCCACGTCACATTTCTTTCATAAGATTCCCTGCACTCTGCCCAAAGTTTGGCTATTAGTCTCAACATCTGCTTCGATATCATGGAGGATAGAGCCTTTCAGAGGCCCTCTGTGGTAGGCTCCAGACTGTCCCCTGTTTTCTCCCTCCTCTGATGTCCATCCTCTTTGCCTTTCTGAATGGGGGTTGAGCATCTTAGCCAGAGTATTCCTTCCTGTACAGATTTTAGTATGTTTATCCTATAGTATATGTCTAGTATCCACTTATGAGTGAGTATATACCCTGTGTGTCTCTCTGCTTCTGGGATACTTCACTCAGGATGATCTTTTTCAGTTTCCACCATTTACCTGCAAATTTCATGATTTCCTTGTTTGTTTGTTTGTTTGTTTGTTTTTTATCACTGCACTTTCTCAGACAATTAGGAATAGTGCTTCATCAAGATCCAGCTATACCACTGTTAGGCATATATCCAAAAGACACTCAAGTATACAACAAGGACATCTGCTCAACCATGCTTGTAGCAGCTTTATTTGTAATAGCCAGAAGCTGGAAACAGCCCAGATGCCCCTCAGTTGAGGAAGGAATACAGAAATTGTGGTACATCTACACAATGGAATATTACTCAGCAATAAAAAACAAGGAAATCATGAAACATTAAGTAATTTCAACAGAAGAGCAGGTATAGAGTCACTATTCTATCCTAGCTGAAGAGTTGTTGGTAGGTGGCTTCTGGGGGAGAGAAAGTCCCTCAAATGTGTGATTTTGCACTGGAAGCTAGTCTGTGCTCCAGTGAATGTCCTTACACCATACACATATAACTAGCACTAGTTGGACTCAACGGGATAAAGAAATAATTTTAATGGAAAGGCATTAAGTAGAAAGAGATTTTGTCATGTCATTGGATGGACATGATAACTACACATTGTGCAGATACATGAAATTTACAAAGAATAAATTAAGTTTAAAAAATAGGAATCTCAGATCTCCATCTTTGGTGATTAAAATTAGCATGACTATGCTTTTGTAGGTGTTTCTGGCAATACTCCATCTCCCCTTGGATTTTGACTCATTTCTTGTATGGCTTCTTCTAGCTTCTACAGCTTTCTTTCCTAGGTGATGCTTTTTTTCTGGAAGTAGTTAGAATTCTGCCAATGACTTTATTGTCTTTAATGCATACAATGCATTTTAGGTTTATTATAAACTTGATTTCTTGTATTGTATAGGTTTTAGTGTATATAGAGACACATTTAGATTACGAAGCTTCCATGTAATTTAAATGGTATCTGAAGATTAAGTACTTCTGAATTTATTTTTTAATTAAATTTTTATTTTTTAATATTAGTTACAGTTTCTTAACTTTGTATCTCATCTCTAGTCCATTCCCTCATTCCCTCCCAATCCCACCCTCCCTTCCTCATCACCTCCCTGCCCCTTTCCAAGTCCACTGATAGGGAAGGTCCTCCTTCCCTTCCATCTGACCCTAGCTTATCAGGTTTCTTCAGGACTGCCTGCAAAGTCCTCCTCTGTGGCCTAGCAAGGCTGCTCCTCCCTCATAGTGGGGGGTTGTCAAAAAGCCAGCCATTGAGTTCATGTCAGAAATAGTCTCTGTTCCCCTTGCTAGGGTAACACACTTGGATACTGAGCTACCACGGGCTATATCTGAGCAGACATTCTAGATTATATCCATACATGATCCTTGGTTGGAGAAAAAGTCTCATAAAAGACCTCTGTGCCCAGATATATTTGGTCCTTGTGGAGCTCCTGTCCTCTCTAGATCATACTAACTCCCCCTTCTTCCATATGATTCCCTGAACTCTGCTGAAGGTATGGTTATGAGTCTCAGTATCTGTTTTGATACACTGCTAGGTAGAGTCTTTCAGAGGCCCTCTGTGGTAGGCTCCTGTCCTGTTATTGTTTCCTCCTACTTCCAATGTCCATCCTATTTGTCTTTCTAAGTGAGGGTTGATCATTTTACCCCAGGTCTTCTTTCTTATTTATCTTCATCAGGTGTAGACATTTTAGTATGTTTATCCTATCTTATAGGTCTAGTATCCACTTATAAGTGAGTATATATCGTGTGTGTCTTTCTGCTTCTGGGATACCTCACTCAGGATGATCTTTTCTAGATCCCACCATTTGCCTGCAAATTTCATGATTTCCTTTTTTTTTTTAATTGTTGAGCTGAATTTATTTTATGATATCATTTTCAGTAAAGTTGGATTGGACATGTGAGGATTATGTCATCTAAATTGTATCAAAACCTTTAGTACATTAATAAGCAATGACTTATGATATATATTATTTTTTGCATATCTGTCCTATATGAAGCATTGAGCTTTTCTTTCATGACAGTACCTTCTGGATTTAAATTTAAAATCCATGTTGATTGGAAATTAACCCTTATACAATGTTTTATACAATATTTTTGCTTTTGGTAGATAATTTGATATTTACTGTTAGTTTTCTGTTTTATTCTACTTGATTATGCTGATTTGACTGCCCAGGTACAATGCTGAACATACAAACTTCATTGGAAGGAGTATGTAGATGATATCAGTTCTCTTTGGCATGAATCCTTGGTTAACTTAATTTGAAGCAAGCACTTTGGGGAGTGTTTGAAGCATTCCCTTTGGGAATTAATGTTGCCTCAAGGTATAAAATAAAAGCTATTTCTTACTAGACATGAAGCACATTGATGCAGATATATAACTGGCACAGTAATGAAAAACAAGTTATTCAGTACTACACATATCTAACTAAATGTATTATAAAATTTTTATTTTTAAGTAAATGAGTAAAGCTTTAGAGTTGCTTGCCCTTAACATATTCTCAACAAGAATTTTCACATGAGACGACACATCAAGTACTCAGCCTCATTTTTGAAGTCAAATGTAGGTAAATCCATAATTTAAACTAAAATGCATTTAAAATGGAAAGAATACAGATATTCAGTGCAAGCTAAAGGAGCACAATATTTGTGTGATTAAGATTTAAAGTCTCAGCAAGTATGTGTGCTCTCATCCTGTTCTTGCCATTATGCATGGATTGATATGGTCATAATATTATCTTATCTTCATCAAACTAAGTTATGATTTTCAGGGTTCAAAAACAAAGTCGTAGACATCCAGATTTTAAACAAGTGGCCAAAAGGAAAGCAAACTGAGCTAACATATTTATGGGAAATCTGCTTATTTTGAACAAGTTGTACCTCCCTTAATTATGCCTTCAGTTATATCAGAAAATTTTTACGCCGTGGCCAAGAATAAGAAAGCGTATACATGCATTTAATTTTATTGATTAGTGCTAGAAAAAACACAATTAAAATAATATCTTCAAATATTGTTTCATGTTTTGGAATGTGTTGTAAGATGGAGAAAAGCTATGGTAAAGCATAAAAAGTACCATAACTTATATATTTTACAGAGCTATTTCATAATATAAAGTATATCTTTAATTTCAGTTGGAGAATATAACTGTTAATAAACTGTCACTTTAATGTGCTATTTTAAAATGTCCAAGTGCTCATTATTTCTGATTTTCATAAAATATACAACATACACTGCTAAGCAACCATCACTGATTTTGTGAGTATGCAGATAATTTTTAATTGTTTTTTCTGTATTTCCATGGATAGAATAAAATTTAAAGTTTATTTTTTGCTCATTTACATCTCCAGGGGGGTTGATATTGAAATAATAATTTGAGTGTCTGGGGCAATTGCTGTTACTTACAGATGCTAGGAACTCTTACTGTGTAACCAGAAAGGCTGTCTTTAAACTTTGTCACAAAATGTTATGATGTATGTTCTAGATATGATTTCATATAAATACATACATATAGTCTTCATGTGATTGTATTTTTCCTAGATCTTTTCACAGATAAATCACCCAAGTATCTGCCAGATCCCTGAAGATTCACTACTATGGTTATAGAAAGGAGTTTTTGAAAATGAGTGGAGCAAGAAATTCAAACTAACTATGAAACCAAGATGGAGAATTGATGAGAAAATGGCTACATTGTAACATAAAACTTATCATTTCAAATTCATTTCAAAAGTATCATTTTAAAATTCATCTGCTTTTGTCTGCAACCTCTGACATCTGAGTGAATTCAACAACCTCTGAATAACATATGGAAAGGAGGAACAATGTGACTGAGTTTATCCTCCTGGGCCTCACCCAGAACCCAGAGGGCCAAAAGGTTCTGTATGTCATATTTTTGCACACCTACATTGTGACAGTGATGGGCAATCTGCTCATCATGGTGACCATCATGGCCAGCCAGTCCCTGTGTTCCCCTATGTACTTTTTTCTTGCTTATTTGTCATTTATAGATACTGTCTATTCTACTGCCATTGCTCCTAAAATGATCATTGACCTGCTCTATGAAACAAAGACCATTTCCTTCCAGGCTTGAATGACTCAAGTCTTTATAGATCATCTATTTGCTGGGGCTGAGGTCATTCTTCTGGTGGTGATGGCCTATGATCGTTATGTAGCCTTCTGTAAACCTCTTCATTATTTGACAATCATGAATCGACGGATATGTGTTTTCATGCTGTTGGGGGCCTGGATTGGAGGCTTTCTTCACTCACTAATTCAGTTCATCTTCATTTATCAGCTCCCTTTCTGTGGCCCAAACATCATTGACAGCTTCGTGTGTGATATGTATCCTTTGCTAAAGCTAGCTTGCACCAATATTTACGTCATTGGGCTTTGTATGATCGCTAATGGAGGGGAAATTTGCACTGTCACCTTTATAATTCTCCTAGTTTCCTATGCTGTCATTTTTCATTCCCTTAAATCACATAGTCTGGAAGGGAAGCACAAAGCTTTGTACACATGTGCGGCCCACATCACTGCAGTTGTTTTAGTCTGTGTTTTCTGCGTCTTCCTGTATGCCAGGCCTACTTCCACATTTCCCACTGGTAAGTCTGTGACTGCGGCTGTAACTTTTATAACTCCAGTGCTGAACCCCTTGATCTACTCACTGAGGAATGCAGAAGTGAAAAATGCCATGAGAAGACTTTGGAGCAAAAAAATCAATCTCATTTTTGAGAGGTCTATATAACTCTTGAAAAAAGAAAGCTGGGACTTTTATTATTTAACGGAGACAAAAATTTTATTGCGTTACAGAAGCTTTTCCATTTCATGAGGTCTCATTTATTGATGGGACCTGTGCTGTTGGTGTTTTGTTCAGGAAGTTGTCTCCTGTGCCAATGAGTTCAAGGGTCTTCTCCACTTTTTCTTCTAACAGGTTTAATATGTCTGGTTTTATGTTGAAATCATTGATCTACTTGTACTTTAGTTTTGTTCAGGGTGATAAATATGGATCTATCAACATTTTTCTACATGTAGATTCAGTTAGACCAGCACCATTTGTTGAAGATGCTATCTTTTTCCAATTACGGCATTGAAGCAAATGCTGAGACTCATAGCCAAACTTTGGGCAGAGTGCAGGGAATCTTATGGAAGAAGAGGGAGATAGAAATACCTGGAGGGGACAGGAGCTCCACAAGGAAAACAACAAGGCCAAAAGTTCTGGGCCCGGGGGGGAGGGGGACTGCAGAGACTGATGTTCCAACCAAGGACCATGCATGTAGAGGACCTAGTCCACCTGCTCAGATATAGCCCAGGCAGCTCAGTCTCCATGTGGGTTCCCCAGTAAAGGGAGCAGAGGCTGTCTCTGACATGGACTCAGTGGCTGGCTCTTTGACCACTTACCGCCTGAGGGGTGCAGCCTTGCCAGGCCACAGAGAAAGATGATGTAGTCAGTCCTGATGAGACCTGATAAGATAGGGTGAGACAATAGAGGAAGAGGACCTCCACTATCAGTGGGCTAGGGGAGGGGTATAGAAGGATAAGAGGGAAGGAAGGTGGGATTGAGAGGAGACAAAGGAGGGGGCTACAGCCGGTATACAAAGTGAATAAATTGTAACAAAAAATAAATAAATAAAAATGAAAAAAGAGTTTCATTATTGTTCTCTTTTGCTACTTTAGTCTCTTATTCAAAAGCAGGCATTTAAATTAACATTTAAGTACATAATCTTTGTTCTCTAGAGATAGTCACCCTATCTTAATATTTATTTCAATACCGTTCAATTTTATTTCCTTAATTTGGAGTTTCAGATATATTTTAACATATAAGCATTATTTTCTCATTCATCCTTTTTGAATTTATATATGATTTTCTCAGTGTAGTTGGCAAGATTAATACTTCTAGGTATTCATTGACATGTGTGAATAATAAGCACCTTTATCAGAAATTAAACAGATATTAACTATAATCTGTTCATGAAATGTTCACTCAATGGTGGAGAAAACAGAAGTAATATAGATAATTGATTCCTGAGATAGGAGTCAAACATGGACAATTAAGTTCATAAATATTAGAATCAGAGAGTCTAGCTAGCATCTGCATAATATTATGAATATTCCAGGAATCAGGGTTTCTTCATTAATGCTGTCACAGAGATAGAGAAGCTAAATTCCTGAAGAAAATTTTCTATTTCTATATATCAAGTTGTATATAGAAACAATATAAAAAGTTTAAATGTGTGCATTCCAAATTACATTCTGTAATTCTGATACCAAATGTCACCTTTTAGTTACTCTGAGAGATGAAAGTACAGCTTGATTTCTCACTATAACAGTGATTTTTCTCAATTCCATGTATCAAATGACTATGCTATAAACCATCCATTCACAACATCTTTTTTTATATATTAATTATTTTAAATATTAATCACAGGTTATTTACTTTTTATCCCAGCCATAGCACCCTCCCTTATTTCCTTCTAATCCCACCCTCCTTTTCTCATCTCCTCCCTGTCCCTATCCAAGTCTACTGCTTGGAGAGGTCCTCCTTCCCTTCAATCTGACCCTAGCTTATCAGGTTTAATCAGGGCTGGCTGCATTGTCCTCCTCTGTGGCCTAGCGAGGCTGTTCCTCCCTCGAGGGGTGGAAGGAGGTAAAGGAGCCAGGAATTGAGTTCCTGTCAGAAATAGTCCCTGTTCCCTTTACTAGGTTACCCACTTGGATACTGAGCTACCATGGGCTACATCCAATCAGGGGTTCTAGATTATATCCATACACGGTCCTTGGTTAGAGAAACAGTGCCCAGATATGTGTGATCCTTGCGGAGCTCCTGTCCTCTCTAGGTCATACTAACTTTCCCTTTAATCATATAATTCCTTGCCTCTACTGAAGGTTTGGTTATGAGTCTCAGCATCTGCTACGATACACTGCTAGGTAGTCTTTCAGAGGCCTTCTGTGGTAAGCTCCTGTCCTGTTTCTTTTTTTTCTCCTACATCCAATGCCCGTCCCACTTTGCCTTTCTAAGTGAAGATTGATAATCTTACCCTGGGTCCTCTTTCTTGTTTATCTTCTTTAGGTGTACATATTTTAGTATGTTTATCCTATCTTATAGGTCTAAATAAGTGAGAATATACCATGTGTGTCTTTCTGCTTCTGGGATACCTCACTCAGGATGATCTTTTCTAGATCCCACTGTTTGCCTGCAAATTTGATGATTTCCTTGTTTTTAATTGCTGAGTAGTATTCCATTGTGTAAAAGTACCACAATTTCTGTATCCATTCTTCCATTGATGGACATCTGGGTAGTTTCCAGTTTCTGGCTATTACAAATAAAGCTGCCGCAAACACGGTTGAGCAAATGTCCTTGTTCATTCAAAACATCTTTACAACATTCATTATACTCAGACTCTGAATTACTGCACAGTGTCAGATACTCCTGGGCTATGTTAGATTTACTCAAAATTTAGTGATCTGAAATGCTGGATAGAACTTATTATTTTATTAGATGAATTCTTTCTTTTTATTTATTTTTATTATTAGTTACATTTTATTAAATCTGTATCCCAGCTGTATCCTGCTCTCTCATTCCCTCCAAATCCTACCCTCACTCCCTCATCTCCTCCTTGCCCACATCAAGGTCCATCAAGGGACCTCCTCCCCTTACATCTGACCCTGTATCATCAGGTATCTTCAGGACTGGCTGCAAAGTCCTCCTCTGTGGCCCAGCAGGGCTGCTCCTCCCATGGAGGGTAGGGAGGTCAAAGACCACCATTGAGTTCATGTCAGAAATAGTCCCTGTTCCCCTTACTATGGTACCAACTGGGATACTGAGCTACCTTGGGCTACATCTGAGCAGAGGTTCTACATTATATCCATACATGGTTCTTGATTGGAGAAACAATCTCGTATAAGACCCCTGTGCCCAGATATATTTGGTCCTTGTGGAGCTCCTATCCTCTCCAGGACATATTCACTCCCCCCTTCTTTCATATGATTCCCTGAAATCTGCTGAAGGTTTGGTTATGAGTATCAGTATCTGCTTTGGTACACTGCTAGAAAGAGTCTTTCAGAGGTCCTTTGTGTAAGGCCTGTTACTTGTTTTCTCCTACATCCAATGCCCATCCCATTTGTCTTTCTAAGTGAAAGACAAATCTTTCTTGTTTATCTTCTTTAGGTGTGTAGATTTCATTATGTTTATCATATCTTATAGGTCTAAATAAGTGAGTATATACCATGTGTGTCTTTCTCCTTCTGGGACACCTCATTCAGAATGATTTTTTTCCAAATCCCACCATTTGCCTACAAATTTCATGATTTCCTCATTTTTAATTGCTGAGTAGTATTCCATTGTGTAGAAATACCACAGTTTCTGAATCCATTCCTCCCATAATGGACACCTAGGTTGTTTCCAGGTTCTGGCTATTACAAATAAAGCTGCTACAAACATGTCCTTGTTGTGTACTTGAGCAACTTTTTGATATATGCCAAGGAGTGATATAGCTGGATCTTGAGGAAGCACTACCCCTAATTGTCTAAGAAAGCCCCAGATTGATTTCCAAAATGGTTGTACCAGTTTACATTCCCACCAGCAGTGGAGAAGGGGTCCCCTTTCTCCACAACCTCTCCAGCATGTGTTGTCATTTGAAATTTTTATTTTAGCCATTTTGATGGGTGTGAGATGACATCTAAGGGTCATTTTGATTTGCATCTCTCAGATGGCTAAGAACATTGAGCATCTCTTTAAGTGTTTCTCTGCCATTCTATATTTGTCTACAGAGAATTCTCTGTTTCACTCCACAACCCATTTTTTTTAATTTTATTTTTTTCTTATCAGTTACATTTTATTAACTCGGTATCCCAGAGGTGTCCCAATCCCTCATTCCTTCCCAGTCCCTCCCTCCCTCCCTCATCTCCACCATGCCCCTTTCCAAGTCCACTGATAGGGGGGACCTCTTCCCCATTCATCTGATCCTGTTTTATCAGGTATCTTCAGGACTGGCTACAAAGCTCTCCTCTGTGGCCTAACAGGACTGCTCCTCCCTTGGGGGGTGGGGAGGCCAAAAAGACAGTCATTGAGTTCGAGTGAGAAACAGTCCTTGTTCCCCTCACTATGGGAAACCAGTTGGTTACTGAGCTACCACAGGCTACATCTGAGCTGAGGACTCCGTTATATCCATACATGGTCCTTGGTTGAATGTCAGTCTCAGAAAAGACCCTGTGCCCAGATATATTTGGTCCTTGTGGAGCTCCTATCCTTACCCCATCAGACTAACTCCCCTTCTTTCTTATGATTCCCTGTACTCTGCCAAAGGTTTGGTCATGAGTCTTTGCTTTGAAAACACTGCTAGTTAGAGTCTTTCAAACACACTCAGTAGACTCCTGTCATACGTTGAATGAACATCCCATCTGTCTTTCTAAACGAGGATTGATCATCTTACCCCATGTCTGCTCTCTTGATTATCTTCTTTAGGTGTACAGATTTCATTATGTTTATCACATCTTATAGGTCTATATAAGTGAGTATATACCGTGTTTGTCTTTCTCCTTCTGGGATATTTCACTCAGGATGATCTTTTCTAGATCCCACCATTTGCCTACAAATTTCATGATTTCCTCCTTTTTGATTGCTTAGTAGTATTTCATTGTGTAAAAATACCACAATTTCTGTACCCATTCCTTCGTTGATGGACATCTGGGTTGTTTCCAGGTTCTGGCTATTACAAATAAAGCTGCTATAAACATGATTGAGCAAAT